TACAGTACAGCTCAAAATGAAAACTAATTACTCTTCAGCACCTGACTCCACATACGTGTCCCAGCAGAACACACCACCAAGGCACATGAAAACTAAGAAAATTCCCTCTGTCAAGTGTTTGATTTTAATAGACTGCTGACTTACACTCAAAATTTGTTCTCAAATTGTCTTGTACTGCTCCTTTATGTATTTCTAACATGCCTAGATACTGGAAGAGGAGAAGGCCACTAAGATCCTCCCTGCACTCTTAATAAAATGAACATTCCTCAACAGAACTCTTCCACTCCTGAATCCATCGTGATGGCAGTGGTAACTGCTGATATGCTAGTCCCCTTACAAAGAACTCATGCACCAAACGGGATTAGTAAACTCACTGAAAAGTGAAAATGTCAGTACATATTCACATTCTCTTGCTGCTGGCACCAGCTGAAAGCCTACTGACATTAGCAAGGGAAGAGACCATCTGGGAGACAACTGCAGGCAAACACCCCAATCCAACTGTGCTTCCATCAGCTTCTTCCTGGCTCAAACCCAAGCAGGAATAATTTCAAACATCTTCCTGGTGCAGAAAGCATTCCAGATTCTGCGTACTGTAATCAAATTGATCCTAGCTGTGGGTGAAACTTTACATTTGGAAATTCAAACAGTTTTATAAACAGTCCAATTTGAATTTCCAAATTGAAATTATTCAAAACCTGCCCAGAAATCTCCACAGTACTGTCCCTCTTGTGACATCCCACTCTCTTCTTAAAGAATAGTTAGGAAGATAAGAGAGTTCTGCCAAGGAGCTCTGCTTCCATTTGTAGACATCTTCAGGATCTGAGAGAACCTGTGGTAAGCCTGATGCTAAAGGCCTCCACACAGGCGTCTGTATCCTACACACTGCCTCTGAAGTGGTCAGCTGGGCCAAACAGATTCATATCATGTGAGTGTTTTGCAGTAAGTGGGAGAGAGATCAGGTCATTTAGGGAGCTTTGAAAGCTTTACAGTAACTTGAAGAAACATCAGTATGCTAAAACAGAAATGTTACAAAGAGTCAGTAGTCCTCAGTCTCTAGCTTCTAGGGTTTAATTATATGATTTAGACACATTGGATATTTTCCAGAGACGTGGCACAGAGCAAAAAACTGCACTTGGAAACTGCAGAATCAGCAGAGGAATCATTTACTTGGCAAGCTTGAGCAGACAGAAAAAAAAAAAAAGCCTCTCTGAAAATGAAGTCATATATGTTTCAATATGCAGGTCTGGGCTGGCGAGAATTTCCATCCAAAGGTGAATCAAGACCTTAAGGACTCAGCCTTTATATGTAAGGCTATAGTTTTCAAACTGGACAGGCTGTGTTCTTATAGTATCCAGCATCTTCTCTCTTCCCAGGACAGCACTTTTTTTCTCCTCTTCAGCCATTGCTGTGTGCACACACGAGCATGCGCATGCACACGTGCATATGGGAGTGGGGGTGTGCATGTGAAACGTTTGAACAAAAATTTTCTTGACAAGCAAGCCTGAGCAACAGAATGCACAGGGGCCTCTGGAGGCATGGAAAATTGAAACCAGTGACTAGAAGAGCTTTTTTCAGAAGTGGTCTCAAGAACAATCTTCAAATGGGAATTCTGTGACAGAAGCATCAGCCTGCTTTGTAGTGACTTTTTCGTAGAGGCCTTCAGTGGGTCAGTACCTCCATAAAGAACACACTTTTTAATTTTTTTTTTTTTTCAAATATAACGTGATAACAGTACACTTCAAAAAAAAAAATCTATTCCTGGTGGCAGAGGAATATTTCTTGAAAGCACAACATGCCTCTGAGAACAAGGTCCTAGTGTAGTTCTTCTGTGTTAAGTTTGAAGCTCCTTGTATAAATTAAAGGTGAGAAGAGTGACAACATGAAATGGAATTTTCTTACTCAGATTTGCTGGTCACATGTTAGAGTGCCATGGCTGAAATGAGTAATTAAGGAGTTTTTATCCTTTTGGGGGTCTGTTTACACAACACAGTCGGCAGCACTGGAGACAGAGAGCTAGTTTGCTGCTGTACAACCTCTACAGAATTATTTACAGAATAACAATGTTAAACTTGTGCACACCCCAGAAGTCCATGACACTGCATGGATGCCAAAGAAAGCAAATATGGGGAGAAGAGGAATGTTCGGCCCAAGTCATGCTCAGCCCAAGACTTAACAAACAGAAGCTAAATTATTAAGGTTGCAAAGGGTCAGAAAACCACTGAAAGTGTGGAGTCGGTAGCTGGAAGAAGTACTTTATCTCTATTGCTTTAAGATGATACAAAACTCGCTAACAAAACATATTTTTTTATTTTTTTAAACAGTAAGATATAACACTAGTATAATATTAAAGCAGGTTTAAGGAAAAAAAAGACAATATTGACAATATTTACAGGAGGCTCATCAGTTTCCCATAGAGTTTTAATCAACTTTTCACAGATATGAGTCTTTAGCTTTTTGGAAAAAAAAAAAAAAAAAGTACATGTTTATGACCAAGAACAGCCAATCTGGAACATTCTAAATAAACACATTTTCATGATAGCACCCTTTTTGGGAGATACTGACCTTTTCTTTTGGTGGCTAAACCACACTATAAAGCTCTAGCTTGACCATACACACCAGTTTGTACTTCTTCCATATTCTACTGTTTGTGTGTGCAGTAAACATGTGCAATATGGCCACAGAAATGAGAATTAAAAATAAACTTTGCAACCTTAAATGTGCTCCAAAAGTACTTTGCAGTCACCTGTAGGGACTTAAGGATAACCTCTGCAGTGCTGAGGGATAATGCATGAAACACAAGGAAAGAAGGTTTTAGGGTGAGCAGATCTGTAAAGGGGAGCACTCCTGAAGCCAGAGGAAAAGCATGCATAAATTTTGTAACAGTGCAGGTATCCAGGGAAGGAGAGTTGACCACAAAACCATTTTATCTTAATGGAGGCACACAAGATAAGGGGTGCGAAATTATACTTCTCTCTTACATGATTCTCTGCATATGGCACATGCAATATCAAAGGGGAGAAGGGGAAGACATCTGCACCTGGGCACAAAGAGGGATGTGAGTTTGTACAGGCATAAAGAAGACAATTCTCAGTGGACTGAGGGATCAGTTCCCTTGTCAGACACATCTGCTGGAAGCCTATGGGAACATGCTGGAGAATAAGCAGCTGCGTCCTTGGACCCACCAGCTGCCTTCCCCCAAAAAAGGATTTACACTGTACCATTGGTCGGCCTGCAAGTAAAATACAGAAGGCAAAGGGAGTAACAGCCTTGCATAAAGAAAAAGATAGGAGGCATTTCTCCCCCAACCCTTTCCAAAAAGTGTCTATAACCCAAGCTGTTCTTGCCACAGATAACAGCTTGGGAGAGCTGAGAACCTCAGAACAATGCAAGAAGACATGCCTTTCTGCAGGGTTTCTGTAGTTAAATTAGAGAGAGATACAATCGCAGTTCATACAATATCCAGCGCCCCATAGAAATGGGCTTTCCAAGTATCAAAATAACCAAACATGTAAACAATTCCGAGCAGCTCAGTGTAAGTGCAAGAAAGCCAAATAGGAGGGAACTCAGAAGACAGGAGAAAAATATTTAGGCTAAGACAACATACATGAAAAAGGTAGTAAAAGAAAGGATGCAATTACATGCAGTTATCTGAAGCCTGACAAAACACTAGTAAAATAAACTGAAGTAGTGACAAGGTGTTGAATTTATGGAATGAAGTTCTAGAGAGAAACAGAAAGTATTTTTTTTTCAGCACTGAGATGGGGTAACATCAGTGGAAAAGGATTATTAAACTGTGGACTGTCTTTTCCTTTCCTTCTCCCAAAGGAACCTCACCACCAGAATTATTTCAAACTGGAAATAAAGAAATAACAAAAAATAGTCAGTAAATCTTTTAATAATGGCTTAGGGTAGGTGGATCTGCTGTGACTACACAAGAAGTGCAACCACATTCAGTTCCATGCTTCTGATTAGAACCTATATAACAAGGAAAAAGGGAGCCTCACTCCACCCCAGCTGAAGCTGCAGATGTGTCTCTGCATCAGATGCATCTGGTGGAAGCAACTCTTCTTGACTTTGTTGTTTCCATTTGCCCTCTCACTCTCATTCCTCATGAAACTGCAAGACTTGGTACACAAATAGTGAAGGATGACCCTTGGGAGATTTGCTTCCGCATCTTTACTCTCTGACTTATAGAACTTGTAGGAGAGGCAGGTGATATTCACCCTTCCTCCCAACCGAGCGAGTGTATTAGCAAGAGACGCTTCAGAGTAAGTGAAATCATCTCAGTAGATCCACAAAACGCAAATTTAAAATTACCCATCACAGCAGCCCCTCCCACATTCACAGATTTATTTAGCTTGAGTAGTAGTAACTTGCATCATCTCCTTAAAAAATAGGTTAACATGGTTTTTCTCTGCCACAAGCACTCATACAGCCATCTGTCCCCCAAAAGAACGCTGAACAACCCTACCCACAGACAAGGCCACACAGCCTTCCTCGTATCGTTCCATGAGAATCGGGAGCGTACAACAGCATCCATCCACCCCTACTTCAGAGACTTCAAAGGCAGCAATTCCCTATGGCTCTTCAGAGAGCTAAAGAGAGAGGGAAACAACGGGCATGGGAGCACACCAAACGCACCAAGCATCTGTGGAACGTGTCTATGTGTGATAGTAATTTCCGTGAGCGGAGAAGCTGACCCGATTCCCCACATCTGTCCTCTCCGTGCCCACAGACGGCACCTGACAGCAGAGGTGCGCTTGGGGGAGGGTCCCAGTAACGCAGCCTTTGAACAGCAGACACCAGGAGAGGAGAAAAAAACCCCACATAACCCGAGGAGTTTTAATCCCTTTCGAAGTAGCACTCGTTTGTTCTGTGTCTGCCCCTCCCTCGGATGGCAGAGACCAGAGGGTACCCGCGACCCACGGCCCGCTCCCTCGGAGCGCTCCGGTCGGGCTCACAATGCCCGTCCCTGCCGGCCCGATCGCCCGCCACGGTACCTTGTGCAGGACTCCAGCAACACCCCTTCCACTTCCCACATTACTCCAGCAGTTTTCGCAGCAGCCCTTCCCGCTAGAGCCGTGCTGTCCGGCCTCCCGGCATCAGAAAAGTTGGACAAAGACCATTTTTCATCGCGCGAGTTGCACCATCCCGACGGGCCAGCGCCAGCTCCGCCGCTTTGTCCCCCGGCCCCGGGCACTGCCTCTGGCTCTCGGCCGATGCCTTTCAACAAGTCGGATGCTCGCGAGCAGTCCCGATCCTTTCGCTACTCTCCAGGCCCTTCTCCGGGAACGTCCTCTCCCCGCCCAGGATCCCTCTCCTGCAGGAGTCTCTTTTCCTCTCGCTTCCCAGGATCTGCCTTGTCCCTTTCTCCAGGCTCCTCTCTCTCTCTCTCTCTCTCTCTCGCTTTCTCTCCCCCCTGCCTCCCTCCCCTCCTCGTCGTGCCCCTCCTCCATTCTCTCTCCGCCCCCCCGACCTGCTTTCCTTCGCAGAGGCCCAGCGACGGCAAAGGGGGGTGGGGGCGCTGCGAGACCCCGCGCTCCGGGGCGGCTCCAGCCACTCCTGTCACTTCCGCGGCCATCGCCATCCTCTCTCCCGCACAGCCCCGCCGGCTCCCCCGTCCCTCGCCGCCTCAGGCTGCCTCCCCTCCGCCTCCCTCCCCTCGCAGCCGCTCTGCTGGGCGGGCCCCTGGGCGACACCGGGTTCCCTTCGCGATCCCGGGCTGTGCTGCTCGGGCCCCCTCCCACTCCCCCCACCCAGTCTCTTCCAGAGGGGGGTTTTCCAACTGAGTCTTCCCTCGCCGCAGCTTCAAGGTTGCGGCCGGGCGCCCTCTGGGGATCCCGAGCGTGGCTGCAATTGCTCCTGCCCCAGCCCCTGCCCAAGCCCTGACCCCCGCCCCTGCCACTGTCAGGTTCAGGTCAGGAGTGACAGATTGGCCAAACAGGACTGGTCCTTGGCCAGTCTCTCCTGACACTGTTGAAATTCATGTTACTATGTAGCGTCTCCTACTGTTCGCGGCAACCCCGCCTCAAGTTAGTGCGTATGTGCTTACTTGTGTTCTACCTCCAAATGTTCTCCCTCTACTCAGCCCTAGTGAGGCACATCTGGAGTGCTTTCAAAACGAGAGAGACATGGGGCTCCTGGTGTGAGTCCAACAGAGGAAAGACTGAGGAAGATGGGCCTGTTTAGCATCTAGAAGAGTTGTCTGAGAGGGGACCTTATCACTGTCTATAAGGGTCTGCAGGGAGAGTATCAAGAGGAAGGAGCTGGGCTCTTCTCAGTGGTGCCAAGCAATAGGACATGAGGCAACAAGCAGAAACTGATGCACAGGAATTTCCCCCTGAACATGACGAAGAACTTTTCTGTGTGGGTGACTGCACACTGGAACAGATTGCCCAGATTGATTATAGAGTCTCTCTCATTGGAGATACTCCATAACCATCTGGACACAACTCTGTGCAATGTGCTCTAGGATGACCCTACTTAGGCAGCAATGTCCTCACCAACCTTACCCATTCTGTGATTCTGTGAAGTGTCACAGAGGCAAGGTGCTTGTTTGATTCTAGATACTAACAAACCTCAATCATTGGGGTGAATCAATCAATTCTCCCAAAGGAGAATTCTCCCAAGGGAGAACCTCAGCTTCCAAAATAGAAACAAAGGACTGGGAGCATCTTCTGGGTCTCTCCCTTCTCATTCTGCAAATGTCACTGGGCTGAACACAGAGAAATGCTAGAGGATGAGGCATGCTGCATAAGCCTCTGCTTGTACCTACCATTCAGTGAGTTACACAGGCAAGTGGCAGAAAATGAAGGGTTCAGTGAACTACAGTGTAAGCACAGTGTGCATTAAGGACTGAATGGAAAATATATCAAAACTCAGTGGCTTACAATTCACAAATAACTTGATAACACAGAGCAGAATTTTGGGCTTCTGCTGACAAAGTGACTTCCTTTGGTTTGAAGTATGAGCTTCACGTTATATACAATAGAAAGTGACCGTGATTCCCTTCCACATAGAACACTGGTACACATACGAAAGGACAAAGCACATTAGACACCCCACTGCATGATGAAATATATAAAGTTCTGCTTAAAAGAAGTACCATCAGTGGATAGTGACATATCTCAGCATTCCAAAACCTAGGGCTAGTTTCCACACAGCACAGCCTTTTCTAGCAGTTCTGTATATATGCAGAATAACATAAATACCTACGTCTTCCCAGACAGCATAGTTTCTTTCTTAATCCTCTCTGTGGGGGTTTCTAGACACCAATTACAACAGACTTCTTTCCTTCACACTTCCCTCCCCCCCTTTCTCCCATCTGATTCTAAAAGAAATTTTCTTCAGGAGAAATTGCAGGTATTCAGTTTCTCTTGGAATCTGGTCCTCACTCAGTAGGGTAGTAAATTTTTGCACATATGTTTTCCTTTCTTCCTCGTTTTTGTACTATGAGGAGCATCTGGCCCCTAGAAAGGAGCAGAGGGACTGTACCATTGCACCGGGGTCGGGAAAGAGGTTAACAAGCTGCTTTGTTCAATAGCTGCAGAAACACTTCCTCCCCTTTATGGTAACGGAATATTCCCCCCAAAACCTCCTCCTCCTCCTTCTTGTGGAATGAAAGCCAAGCATGAGCAAACTGCTACACTGAATGGGGAAGTCTGGGAAAAGTTCCTGTGCACGTGTGCACATGCAACGTCCAAACAGTGTTTAAAACTTCACCTGATGAAAGGCGAGCTGACAGTCAATCTTTTACGAGGGATTAATTTTATGGCAGCATTTAAATGTTCTTTCTTCAATGTTGCAGCATTTTGCAATGCTACGGCATTTACATATTTAAAAAAAGTTTCCAGTTTCTGAAATCTCCCTCTGCTGGGCGGATTATTACACCCTACCAGAAAAACTCACCTCTTTCAATATGAAAAAAATCACAGCCAACATGACAGAAGCAGACAAGCAAAAGCTCTCAATCCAAAACTACCATGGGTGGATCAGATTCTCAGGACAACCTTAAATGTGACAAACCCAGCATACCTCATGCAACAGTGTGGCTGCATGATACAGAGCTGTGACCTCCGAAGTGGGGTGCATGCACCCCAAGGGGTATGCAAGACAACCCATTGGGGGGCAGGAGAAAAACATTAGAACTTCAGTAGTACATAATTTATAAACAAATAAATATATGTATGTTGCGGGTGTATGCTAAAGCCTTTTACCAAGAGGGGTACGTGATCAAAAACATTTGGAGAGCACTGATATAGATAATCTTGTGCTCCAAATTACATAGACAGACATTCATTTTATAGACATGGGATTCCACAAAATATTGAGTTTCAAATACCCAGACACACAAACAGATCTTGCAATATTTGAAGAAAAGAAGAAGGTGCAGTTATTAAAACGATGGTGAGGACAGCAAAGCATAATTCACTTCTTAAATACTCTCTTCACTGTGTGAAACATGTTAGGTCTTGAAGAGAAAAGAACTGGAATGTGCAGGGCAGACCACACAAACCAAAGAGAAGAAAACAACCCATGAGAGAGTAGCTAAGGAGGATAAAAGGGAGGGGTTGGGTTAAGACAAGAGGAATAGAGTTTCAAAGGAAAAAGAGAGAAAAAGGAGGGTAAGAGTGAGAGGTGGGAGACAGAGGTAGAGAAAGCAAGATACACACAGAGCAACTATAAAAGACAGACAAGGAAAGAAAGAGATGTGGAGAAGAAAGGGAGGAGCTGGCAACAGCAAATAGAATAGCAGGCAGAGGAAAGAGTAAGAAGGTTACTATTTATACATGAGAGGACATGTTTGACAAGCAGTTTTGAAGCAGAACTATTCAGTGGATAAAATCTTCTAGATTTTTTCAAGGGCAGATTTATCACTGCAACTGCCTGAAATAGCATATTTTCCTTTACAGATTTCTGAAAAATATTCATACATCAGTAAATTAAAACCTTGTAATATCCTCTGGATACCATATCTTATGAACTTGTTTTGTTTGTTGGTGTGTTTGGTGAAGTAAAAAATTATTTTCTTCCTAAGAAAAACCAGCAGAGAAAGAGGAGAAGCTTATGAAAAATTCATAAGAGATAATTGAAAATAATTTGGGGAAGCACAGAGTCGCAAAAGGAATGAGGGGCAGCCCAAAATGGGGTGTGAAAAACCAGACCTTTACAGTCTCCACACTGGCTCAGAGCAACCATTAGTATTCACCTCTGCTTAGAGCTTTGTTTCCTGAGCTTTAATGGAAATAAATCTGAACCAGAAAGGGGAAAAAACCCAATCTACGTTGGCTAACTGTGCATCCACCTGTATTTTTAATTATTATTTTTATGAAGTATATGTATCAGTTGTTAAGAATATTACCTTCCTTGATTATTATATCAACCGGTCCTTAAATTCGACAGTGTATTAATTTTGTTAATATGTATTAGTTCACAGTATACACTGTATTGTCATAAAGTTCTGAAATTTTACTGAAGGCATTAGTATTGTTCCTGCTTAAGTAAAAGAAACTAAAGACTGACCTAGTCTTGGAAATAAGGACTTTGCTTCTTGGAAGCTTGCTTTGTCCATGAAGGATAAAGAGTACCTGTGGACAACCAAGATAACACCAGCATCCTAGAGCACGTCTTCAAAACCTTCCCAGCATCACCTGGCATCATAGGTAAGTAACTACAACAAGACTGACTCCAGGGATGTCTGCATCAGTAGATAAGCGTTAAGAATTCTGAAAAAATGTAGATGCTTTGCAGAGATTTACTGTGATTAATAATCAGTAGTGTGGGTGTTAGTGATTAGTCAAATCATGTAGTACCTGAATGTTTGAAGGGTATAAGAATTGTGTGTAAAACCACATTCGGGTTGCCCCAATTTGGCTGGAACACCTCATGCACATGAATTAATATTTACCCTTGTGATTTTATGCTTTGCATCCTAACCTCCCTCCTCAGTTGGCACGAGCCAGTTGCAAATTTTCGCAACAATTTCAAAGGTGAAGAAACAGCTAGACTTGTGCCAGTTCACTGGAGCTATGACCTAAATGTTTGTTTATCTATCAATTTTCTAGCATTCTCCCCATGTAAACCAAGCATTTTAACCCACTCATCACACAGATCAAGAGCTAGTGTTCGTGATGCTAACATCCAGGAGGAAAACCAATGATTTCTGCTGTGGACTAGGATCTGGGGAAATTTAATAAGATAAGTAGCTGCCTGGGAATCCATGACTGGGTTTACAACAAGCCTAGTTTCATGCTGGGACAGGACACTATTTAGTCAACTCCATACAGACCTGCAATCCAGCTGTGTTAAGTTCAATACTGTCTACTAGGTTTTTATCTGAATGCCCAGATATAGTAAATTAATTTGTAGCTTACTGGGACATGAGACACT